AAGACCAGCCTCCTTTTTTCCTCCTGACTCCGAAACAATCATCCACTTGACAAGTTTTTAATGTTATGCTGATTATCAGCAGTAATCATCTCACTTTTTACTTGGAATTTGTGAACAAGTAGTCTGTTTATTAGCTTAATAAAAGCCAAAATGCATAGAGCTACAAACACCAGGCACCTCAGCACACACTAACACAGGGTTCCCCTCTATTTTAACTTTTCTATGCTGTAGAAAAGACCACCAGGACTTGATCCACAGTGGAGATACCCCAATGAGTACAAAGTCCCCACCACGCCACCACTTGCACTTTACAGCTACTACTGGGAAGCACAGCTCTCACACCATACTTACATCTCATTCACCTCTGGAACACGTCATATATACTTCACGGGTTTAGAAGTCCTCTTGGCTTCCTTCTCATAAGCATATCAAATGTCTTTATGCAACACTGCAGAAGAGGTTGTCCATGCATCTATACTATACATTACATTTATTTAAACAAATAAGCAATTTAGAAGTCCCTGAGTTACACATCACATCCTTACATCATTTCCCCAGAAGTAACTGCATGCTTTCTGGTTCAGCAATTAACACTGTTCTTTCATTGCAGTACTCAGGGGTGATCTCATGTTCCTGTGCCCAAAGCAAGTTCCACGAGTTCCACCTAGAAGCAGGTACCAGGAAAGCACTTTACCAGACTACAGACAAACAGCCCTCAGGTGTCTGGGCACACAGGTGTCTCTAAACCTTCCTTCAGAAGTTTGTTGTTGCTGATGCTTGCATTTCAAACAAAGTTCAGGAGTCACGCTCAGCAAGGAACTTTCACCACTTAGACGCAATTTTCAACAAATCGTAAAAGTACCAAAAGCAGAAGTATCAAATGTAAACAACTTGTAAACATTAGTGACAGATTCAAATAACATGAATGACCACAGAGACAACTCACAATGCAGAAAGAGCCTTTTGTTATGAAGTCTTTATGGCTTGACAGAAAGAAAGTTAGATTTGTTTTGGGTTGTGGTTAGTGCAATTTTTTTTTTTTTATTGGAGAGGTCAGTTAAGAAGAGTTAAACAGATGAATCCAGTATGACACCTCAGTTGCCTAGTTGTTTTTGAACTTGATCTGAAATATGGCACTGGACTCTTTATCAAGGCATTTGTGATCTCAGAGATAAAACCAGCTGTCTTCCCCCCAGGAGATGGGGGGGGGTTCTTCAAGGGATAATTCGCATTTCAGATGAAACAGGAAGGAAAGCTTAACAGCATCAGAAGTGCAGCTGTGTGCTTGGCCAGTACCTCTGCAATCCACATATACAGCTTTATCAAATACATAACTCATCTGGAAAAGTGAATGAAGGAAGGAGAAGTAGGCAGCCTCGTTGAAGAGATGGGTAATGCAGCATTTGAAAATAGTCCTCTCCTGGATATTCAAACTCCCACAAAGTAACCTTGAGCTTTTACACAGGGAATGGCTACAAACAGCATATTCCCCAGTACTGTCTGAATTTAGATCCTCCTCTCCTGCTACCTCATGCAAAGCAAGAATGAATATCCAAGCTTCTATCCAAAGCAAAATTCCTTGACTGTGATAATGGTGTTGAGAATTTTCAAGTAGTGCACACCTTTTTGGAATCAGAATCAAGTTTCAAGACACTCATCACATCTTCAACTTTGATCCTAGTTATCCGTTCTCTGATTCCAGAGACACCACTAGGTCTGGCACCACCATTTCTTCTCACTTATTGCTTTTACAAGCTGCATGCATTCCAAGGACACCTAGCTCACTACAGCATCTTTGCTTTTCCCCTTCAATTCTCTTCCAATATGAAGAACTCCCATTAACCCTAATGGAAGCCAACAGGACATAAGAGACCTATTAAGGCTACATGGCTGACCAACAGGAACAGAAATACATACATGTAACTGAAATTTTCTTCCATTTAGCAAAGGGCACCAAGTTTTAATAGAAAATTTTCAACCCGTTACCCTTACTTTCTTATACCCACATTCTCCCCCTACCCTCCTTATGTATGGGGAAGACTCACTGTGCTTCCCTAAGCAAAACAAGAAATAGATCACATCAAGTTTGCTCCATAGATCAAAAGGTAAAAAAAAAAGCCAACGATAAAGGACAAACTGGTTCACAGTTGACTATTAATAAAAGTGCAGTAAGTGTTCAAGTAGAGTGTAGAGTTTAAGCAAGCTGTACAACCATATTTGGCATAGTCATCTTTTAAAGGCCCTGCGTGGGTCCCTCCCATTACTGACAGCAGAAGAAAGAGGCTGAGCACTACTAGCTGGTGCTGGATTTACAGGTCCTCGTCCAATGCCTCTCCCACTACCTGCATAACTGTGGCCATGGTTATACATGAATGGAAATCCACTTGCTTCAGGTCCAGTTTGTAAACCATTTCCTAAAAAGACAGAAAAAAAAGTTAGCACAAGTTCCATGGACTGAAATCACCACTCCCATACCTAAGTTTAGTAACAGGGAACACGTGGAGTTTGCAGTAACCAGTAAACCCTGCAGACCAGAAGGAAACGCCTCTCTGGCTCTGCAAGGCCCCAAACCACAGCTTACCTTTCTCTCCCCTCTCAAACTACCTCCCCTCCACCTCTACTCCCTTTTCTCAGCTAAAGCAAGAAGGGTCACAGTAGTTAGTGTGCTGAGAGAAAAACCGAAGTCTCATGGATCTATAACTGGTGCTTTCAGAAACATGCACTGACTGGCTTGGAGGTCACACACCCAGATACTCCAGAGAGCAGGGCAGCAGAAGTCAAGGACAGACCAGGAAATAAAAAAGCAAGCAGACTACAAAGTTGCTTGAGTCATTCCCCACTACCAGGCACCCAGAAACAGAAAGCTACTTGTCTAAAGTCCAGCTACAGAAGCAACTCAGCACCAAGTTCTCATGAACTTGAGCCTCATAAGCATCATTGCTCATGTTTTGCTGGAGCTGAAAAGGCAGAATGATGACAGGGAGCATGGGGAGAGAAAAAGAAGAGACAAAAGGAAATCCTTACATTTAAAGACCATACAAGAAGCAGGAAGACCAAAATGTTTCAGAAGATAGGCACAAGCTCAGTGAAAACAACTGTCCAGTGCCAAAAGCCAGGGCACCGAAGAAGTACCTACACACATCCTGGCACTGAACAAAGACTAGCCTAAAAGCACTGCCTTTCTTTGCTCACCACAATTTATTCTCAAGGGAACAGAAAGGGCTCATAAGTAAAATAAGAGAAGTTACAAAGCTGTTGCTAAAGAGGAAGCAGTCACTGGATTGAAGTGACACAGAGGTTTCTAACAGCAAGTTATGAGTTCGTTATCATCCACCAGCAGAGCTCAGCTATACAAAACCAGGTACTGAGTCTGGGCATTGTGTAACCAGGCCATAACTAAGGTTCTCTCTCAGCTTACACCTGCTCAAGTCCTTGAAGCATTTTGTTGTTTAAGCTTCTGTGTTTAAGTACAGCACAGAATGAACCAGACAAGCCAAATAATGGAATTCAGATTACCACTTGTTTTGGGGAGCTAACCTGGCAGGGAAGCCATGCAGACTAGCAAGACTGAAGTAAGTAATTTTTAAAGCCAAGGTCTCAGGCAGTTTAAAAAAGCAGAATTTCCAGTGATGCAAAAACTCTTTGAAAGCATCAAAACAATGTAGGGTTAGTCAAGTTCTAAATGTATCACTTAAATGTCATACAGGTACCCTGAATATTCTGATGTCTTCCTCTTCTAGGGAAGAAATCCTTAAAACAATACTCATTCTTACAAGCTTGAGGTTCAGGTCCCAGTTTGAAAGACTCTTTAGAGACTAGTACAGTTTTACCCCAATGGAGAACCCTTAGCAAGATAAATTTCTTTCTATTCCCATCAAGTGTTTCTCATCTTTTCACTTCTACAAAATGAAAACAAACTTACCCAGCGGCCCAAAAGTACAAGCACCCATACTACTTGATGCAGAAATATTATTCTGTTCACTCTGTGCATTCAGCGAAATGTAAAAAAAAAAACAAACCAGAAAGACATGGATCAGAGAGAGAAAATTCACATTTTTCCACAAAGGGGCTATTTGTTTTTCCCCCTGTTCTTATACTGGCTCAACATGGAATTTATTTGCTACTTTAACTATTGGCTCATTTTTAACTATATATCACTTTAAGTCCATTTTTCCAGAAGAGTCACATCTAATCACAGCCTAGGGTGAGGTATTCAGAACAAAGAGCACTTTATGACAGAAGCCTCAGACAAGGTTAACATACCAGTTTGTTCTGCCCGACGTGTTCCAAGTTGGGCTCACTGTAGTTTGGCACTTCTGAGTAAACCATGCAGAACCTGGAGAGAAACTGGAATTATCAGGAAGTCCCAAAACAATTTTTTTAACAGAGTTCTCAACTCCTCAATTCAAAGAGCATATGTTCTTGACACATCCCATCACCCAGAAGCAAGTAATCCAGGCCCTTCTGTTCAGAGAATATCCATATGTATTAAAAGGCTCTTTGATCCCTTTATGGGCCTGTGGTGAAACTGCCACATCTTCCTGGTGAGAGCATTTCAGTCAAGCAGAGGCAAGTACACATTTACTCGAGGTAAAGTGGCTGAATAAAACAGAAGGTGCTGAAAGGGCTCTCTTCAACTCTTCCAGCTGCACGATCCTGTCCAGCGCCCACTCCCAAGGTCACCTGAGGCACAGAGTCACCCAGCTTGCTCCCAGACTGGGATTGCATTACATCTCCAGGGAAAACTTAAAACACTCCCACATGCTCCCATGCTACACAGTGCTCCATTAACAGCAACAGCTGAGGAGTCTAAAACAGGGAATGAAACTCAATGTACCCTTTTTCACTCAAGGGGACTATGGAGGAATAGGCCCATAAACTCACCACGTGGAAGTTATGGCACAGGGGAAGAAAGATTTGGCATATTAACACAGCTTGAAGTGGTTAAGCAGAAGCAGAGCTTCCACCCAGATGAGGACTCACATCACTCTAGCCTGCTGGAAAGCAAACCAACTGGATGACCTTTCTGATGTGATGGATTTACACCAAATAAAACCTGCAGGTTCTCTTGCACAGAATCCAGCCAAACGCTGGGCATTTCTAAACCATACCAGAAGAGACACGGCCATCCCAGAGTCCCATTTCCCTGATGACAAGGTTTCCCACAGCACTTTGTGCAAGTACTCTTCTGGTTAGAAAAGGCTGGTAATTTTTTCTGTTGCTCAAGTATGTTACTCATGTTTGTTCTAGGTCAAGAGTTGTTGCCTCAGTTTGTGGGCACTTTAAAGCAGGTTTAATGAGGCTTGCTTCTGCTTAGATATGATTCACTGCAGTTACCTTGGCCTTCCTTCTTTGCACTGCTGCCTCTTAAGCATGATATGCATATACAAGGCTTCCACCAAAAATCAAGTGGTTAATCAAGCTGAGGCCTAGGTATGCAACACAGACTCTGTTCCTTGTCATTCATATACTTCCTTCTCCTAGGTAAAATCCAGACTTGTGGCAATGGTGGAGGATGATTTTCCTCAATGTACCTAGAGTCCAGAAAGCTCATTACCACAGCATGTGGAAACTCAGATCACAGCTGCCTGTGCTGTATCTACCCATGACTGACCAACAACACACTTTTCCTGCTGTATCTTCCATTTCCTAAGAGCCACCACACCTCATACTTACCATGACACTCTGCTGGGCAGAGACTTAACACCACCAGCACGAACACACAATACTTACTCCCCAATTTTATGCAGCTCGCCTACTCGTCCTGTGTAAAGTGTCAGGCACCCTTTCCACAGAGATGCATACCTGGCCAAAGAAAGGAGAGGCAAAGCAGTCTCAGTGAATGAGAAATACCACTGTTGACAGAGGAAGAGGAAGCATGCTATCTTCCAGGAGTTAACAAGTATTACATGTCGGCATGAATGGACCAGAAAAATCCCCAGGGATCCCAACTTCACCACATTAAAAGCTTATAGTTCCCCATTACTCCTAGCAAGAGGTACTAAAAGCTCAGTGGACTCTTTTGGCAATTCGAGGACAGCAGCCAATTATTTTCAGATTGGGTGCTCTTTCCTCAGCTGGAGCATCCCTTATGACTGGCCCTGCAGAGGAAAGGCATTTTGCCAAAAGTATCTATGTTATAATCAGTGACAACTCTCAGTTCTGCTTTCAGCAGGGGCCAAGAGTTCCTTTCGTTCACTGGAGCTACTGCCACTGAATGCATAGGATAGGAAGCGCTTACATTTTTGGTATAGGTCCTGACCAGATCGTTTTTTTTTTAAAGACACAAGTTCCACGAGACATACAGAAACACAATGAAATAACTTTTTGATTGCAGAAACATTCCCTCACAAGACAGTGTGAGTCCACTTTACAGTGGCACTTGACTTCAAGCACTGAAATCTGAGTCAGACAAAACGTTATGGGTAATTTTCCTTCCAGTGAGGGGCACCTCATATGTGAATAAAATAATGAAAATAGACCAGAAACCTGAGTGCAGTGCAAGGGAATTAAGAGGAATATGGGTGTCTTCTAACAGAAGAACAGGGAGCCTCAGCCATTGCACTCATATCACAGTCACAGATAATCTGGACAAGTCATCACTTCCTTATGCCCCAGGTCTATCTCTGGAATAGAGATAACAAACCTTCCTCTTGCCCTTTGTCTTATCTGCTGAGACTGGGAGCCATGCAGCTGCACAAAGGGCCTTGAAGAGGCACCAGGGAAGAGTCAGGTTGGCAGAAGAGGACAGTAGTGCCAATGCAATGATAACCTTCTCCATACTTCAGCATGAGCAGGAAGCCATAGGCACAGTAACTATACGAACTATCTCAGAAGTTTTCCATCCAGAAGCAGGACTAATGTTCTCCACTTCATAATGCTACCTTTTATTTTAAAGGTCCTCTCCATGCTTAACCTTTCATAACCAGCTAGTTGGACAGTCTTGTGACAGAGCACAAAGAGCAACCAAATAATAAAACTAAGTCAAACATACATTTACTGGGACAAGACTCAGCAAATCATGGGACTAACAGCCTTCAACACAAACTCATTCCAAGGTTGCAAGCATTTGTTTTTGTCTCAAAAAGAGCTGGCCAAAAAGCACTGAACTCCAACACTAAATTCAATAAATAAGAAATATTAACTGCAACAGCTTCCTGTAAACAGGTTCATCAGCCAGTGACAAAAGTAAGCAGCAGTGTCTGCCTTTGCAAAGGAATGCATGAAATTCAGCAAGGAAAAAAGAGACATTTACATGTGGGGCCCGGATAAGCTTTTCTGCTTGCAACAGTGGGCAGCCTGCAATGAAAAATCAGACTAGTCTAGATTAGACCTGAACTTTACCTGCCTTGTGAAGGCAACATCACACACTCAATCCTATCTAAGTGTAAAACTGTGTTTGGAGCACCCTGTATGCCAGCACAGGGGCATTTTTCTGAAGATGAGAGCAAAACCAGAATGTACTTAACTCTTGCCAATCCTGAGGGAGCATACAATTCATGTCCGTGAAGGTATGACTTTGCCACCCATCAGGAATAGCGATGTCAGCTCAAAAATTTAATTCATACAAGCCAAACTCACTTTTTAACAAGAAAGGATGCCCTGACACTCTCATTTGCTGCACTGAACCACCACAGCAGCTGCAGCAACCCACAGAGAAGAGTGCAGTAACTGTGCTGAACAGCATGGCTCTTGGTTTGTTTCAATGTCATCTGCATGCAGGGCTTTGTGCTGGCCCAGAGAGCTCTAGTTTAGTTCCACCCATCCACGTGCTCTCCACGCAAGCAGCTTTCCCCAGAACCACCTCTGCTGAGGAGTCAGCCCATTTCGTGTGAAAGGACATTTGCATAGGAGGAAGCAGCTGTAGTTTTGGTGGCAAGGGTCATCCAATTTCAGTCCAAAACCAAGAATTACACTCCAATGAACAACTTAAGAGCAGCTTAGCTGGCAGCCTCACTGAGTAACCTTTCACCTAGTTCTTCATAAAAACAAATTAAAAGGACCTTACACATGCTGTAGTTCCATCATCCCCTGCAGTGCTGAAGGCCAAAGAATCCATGTAATGGATTTCTAAGTGTAACCTAACTGGCGTAAAGAGCTCAAATGAAAGTGACTATGGCTCTGCTACTGACACCTCAAGTGGTGTGGAAAAGAGTCCTCACATTGACTCCAGCATTATTTCTCAGAGTTAATAAATCTAAGCATGGGGGGTTGTTTTTTGTTTTACTTAAATCACCTCTGAGAAATTATTTACACCTGACCAAAGTAACACACTCTACAGTGTAGCCCTAGCAGGAATATTTACAGTGAAACTGAAAAGGTTCTCATCTGCCTGTCATTTTCATTAAACTCATGGCAATGAAAAGAAACTTTTCTCCATGAGACATGTAACCATCCCCTCCCTTCACTAAGGAACTGACTACCAGTGTAAAGAATTGGCTGTAAAAATAAGAATATGCTTTTGACTCCTCCTGCTTGATCTACCAGGACTGACTGTTGCGTTCCCCCCTAGCCCCGATGAAGCATTTTCCTAAGGAGCTTTCTCAAAGCCGAACCAAGTCACTCCACCTCATTCTAAACCCAAGCAAAAAAAAAGCCGCCTGCCTGCTCAGGCTAGGCGTGTTCCGGCCTGGAGAAGGTCGGTCGAATTTGGCGAGTGACCTCGGGGCGCTGCCTCGGTCGGA